TTTTTAATCTTAACATGAAAAATCACTTTGTACTCAGAGCATGTATTCATGGACAAATTTTTAGTAAAAATACATAACTAAATATTCTGATTTTTATTTTCTACAACAGACTTGTAATGTTACTAAAAGCTTGAAAAAATTTGTGGAAATACATATAAAATTTTTAAAAAGTTTCTAAATGTTATAGTATGGAATTTTTGACGGTCACTTTAGGGTCATGTGGTTGATGTAATCCACTGAGGCAGTAGTGAAAGGGTTAATGTCATACCTAAGATGTATTGTCTTTTTACACTTGATGATTTATGCTAATTCTGCAGGAAAAAGTAGTATGCTTTGGACATGACCATGGAATCTTTTGCAATGGAAACTACATTTCCAAGTTATTGTCAAAATGTATGGCCATTAATTAGAGAATGATTGGATGTGCAACAAGAGTTGTAATGATGTAGAGAGGTTTCAAAATCCTTTTAATATAGCATACTCAACCTTTATATTCATCAGTCCAAATGAAACATGAAACAAAGATATCTTGTGAAAACCCCGCAGATAGAAGCAGACAGATTTATGAGTTGTGAATTTCTTTTGATTTGACAAATGTAAAAGTAAGAAAGAAAATTAGGAAAGTTAGAGTTGACAACTTACCATTTCTTATTATTTTGATCACTCCATATGAGACTTTGCACAATACCTGGGGACAGCCCCCATAGTTTATAACAGACAGATTTGGGGCTTTTCATTTTAATTTACATGGGTTAAAGGTTAAAAATTTCAATGTATATAATATGGAGCTCTGAACCTAGAAACATTGTTTGCCTATGTAAATATTATAAGGGACTGTTATTGATAGAATTTGGATTTATGCAGTACACAGAATTCCATATATTGTGTTGAAGAATAGGTTTTATATGTCCAAAAATTGCCTGGTTTTTTTTCATTGTCGATATATCTATTTACATAGGAACTTACTATCATTTGTATTTTAGTCATAATTCAGTATGTTCCACTACATCTTTCTCGCAAAGAAGTCTCACATTGATACTGCATTGTCTACTGCTCTAAAATACATAGATTGTAGTTTATGCCCCATTTACCGTATTCTGAGGGTCTTATCAAATATGGTGAATGCAGCAGACATATTACATTCACTTGTGAGTATTGGCCTTTCTAGATAAGTTAAAATTTTATCATCAGTGTCTTGTAATAAAAGGAAGTTTACTTGGAGGCTAGAAATTGCATAAAATTATTGTAAATGTTCATTAAAAATAACTTGTTAGGTAAAGTTTACCAAAACTTTTTATGTTCATTGAATTAAAAAAAAAATGAACCCATTAATAGCAATTCACAGAAATGCACATACATGAGCAGGAAGTACAAACTAATGTCACTGTGTTATATCTTCAATACTATGTTAATGTGAAGTGTAGACCAAATAAAAGTATCAGTTGTAGCACATTGCATGATTTTATGGAGTACATTCAGATGGAGTTTTAACCATTTGGACAGGATTTGCACTTCAAGGAATCTCCAGTAGTTCCATCTTTTCTTTCTTTCTTTTATTTTTAAATCAGATAGTAGTATTCATTAATTTCAGTCCTCACTTCACACTAAACACTAGAGTAATAGAAAATATATACCTGACACTTTATTTTGACCCACTCTTAATCCCCCATATTCTGTTGTAGTGAATTATTTGTGAATCACTACTTTGAAATAGAACCTGTGAATTGTAAGCTTAATGTTATTTTGTAGTCCTCAGTAGTAATCCTTCGAAACATGGTGGATGTGGAGGATCTAGATGAGGAGTTGGAATCAGAAGTAACAGACGAGTGTGGTCGATTTGGTGAGGTAAACAAAGTGATTATATATCAGGAACGTCAGTCAGAAGAAGAAGATGCTGAAATCACCATCAAAATATTTGTAGAGTTTAGTCAACCTTTAGGTAAGTATCTCCATTATATATATATATTACAACAAGATCATTTGGGGTGCATGTGATATTTACTTGTAAATTTCTTTTTCTCATCAAAACTTGAATTTTATTTTTTTCAATATATGAGCTGGAGGTCTAATTTATTATTTGCTTTGCTACTTTCACTGTAGCAGAGTAGTTTTGCTAAATTCACAGTTCATCAGTGCTCTCGGAAGAGTGAAGCAAATAAACAAAGTAGGCCTCATATAATGGTGGAATGCGAGCACTTTGTTTAGTTTTGATCTATAGTCCTACATAGGACAATAATTGTTTTAGGTTTTTTAGTGGTGAGTAAAGAACTACATATCAAACTAAACGAAGTGCTTGCATTCCACCATTATATGAAACTTACTTTGTTTATTTGCTTCACTTTTTCAAGCAGTGCTGGTGAGCTGTGAATTTAACAAAAGTAGTCTGCTGCAGCAGGAATAGCAACTAAAAGAATAGATTAGGCCTCTGCATCATCTTCATTGAAACTCAAAAATAAAGAAATAACCAATTAATCCACTGAATAATAATGAATTATGAATTGTCATGTTATCCAAACACCTAAAGCATTCCAAGTTTTTAGCATTGAGTAAAAAACTTCAATTCAAAACCAAACAACTTACATGCAGTATTGTTGAAAGGTTAAAACATTTATTAAACGTACTTTTTACAATTCATTCTATGTAATTGTATAAAGTCTAAGCTGTTAGTACATTGTATGTTTCCTTTTTAGTTAAAACACTTGTATATCTATGGTTGAATGTTTACTTGAATGACTTATGAGATTTTATGTCTGGGATAATTTATTTCAAACAGATGGTTTTAAAGCCCATTTTGGAATATGTATTCATCATTCCATTCAAGAGATTGGATACATTTATTCTTTCTTCACCTTCAAATGTTTATTAAGTGACACATAAATTGAGTTTTGTAAGCAAGAAATTATTTTTAAACATTTGTAGCAAACCTCTTAAAACACGGATAAAAATATATTACATTGGCCATGCTTCCAACAGTTATTATACATAATCACAGTAAATAAAATATATAATGTTCTTGTAATTGTTTTATTTTTCCTTATTTACAGAAGCAAACAAGGCAAGAGATGCATTGAATGGAAGGTATTTTGGAGGTAAAATAGTTACTGCTGAACTTTATGACCAAACTCTGTATGAAGCCAATGATTTATCTGGCTAAGTGCATTAACTTCACATCCTTTTACTGTACATTTTTCACTGTATGAAAGTTCTTTACATAAAGAGTGTAATTTTAGGTGAAAACTTTTGTATTGTAGTGTTTACTTCTTAATTTTCTGTACATGAGCTCACTCATTTTGACTGACCTAGTAACCACCAGGTAACTATATGAAACTATACATACTATAATTCTGAATTTATTTAGTTTATCTTCATGAAATTTGGCAAGCATTTGATAAACATTATAAATCTGTTTTACACAAAAAAAATCAGATTTTTTTTAATAAAGTATTTTTACTAAATATTTGTATCAGAATTTATGAAGCCTTTACTGAGTCAGTTTGAATGCAAGGTGATTTTTCACATTAAGAATAAAAATGATTTTTTCTTATTTCATTTGCATAACCTCTAGAACCTCCAAAATGAATATCAAACATTTTCTGTTTTTTCATTACAACTTTGTATGTAGGCTCATTCAATTTGACCAACTTTGTTATTACTACATAAAAAAAGAAATATGAAATATATCTAACTTACTCTTTTTTTTTTCTTTCTAGAATTACTGCACATTGTAACAGACAGTTGAATATTCTTTACTCGTAACCCAAAACTAATTGACTTTTCACTTAGTTTTATTTCTTTACAATTGCACGTAGACTCTAAGAGTCTGGCAAAAGCTGCTTATTATTGTGGGACAGTTTTTGTATACAGGAAGGATAGAGTTAACAGCATGCAAAGCTATAAAGGATATCTTCCACTGTGACTAACTGTGAACTGCTGACAAGTGGAAAGGCACTGTGTCAGCATCTGCCACATTTTTCTTATTGTACATACCATAGTTACTGGAACTTTGTACTGGTTGAGTGTAAGTGATTAATGTGACCATCAGTTAATTGATTAGAAAATATCACTTATAGCCCAGAACTATTTAGTGTTGTCTCACAAATGAATTGTTTTTAGTTCAAATATTTAATGTCTAATACAAAATACTGCCATGCACAAAAACTGTAGAATGTCTTAAAATTACTCTAATTTAACTGGATTACTAACTAAGCTATAAATGGGTTAAAATAATTTCAATAGCGGGTTCATCTGAGCTCCAACAATGGCAGACAATGAAACTGAGAATAAATTTTTCAAACCTTTCATCTAAATGATCCCATCCTCATAGCATTCAGTAAATTGGAATCTTCTCTTTCTGTTGGTTAAAAATAATACAGTAGCAAATATCAGAGAATTACTGACATTCTTTTGAAAGATAGGATGTGCTATGAGAGGCATGGTATGTGGGTTTCACTTTATTGCATATATATATTTCAGTAAAGCAAGAACTTTAGAGGCTGTAAATTGACATTTAAGCTCAGGGATATCTATAGTATAAATGTATAATTTGTGGGAACTTTGGGAGATCATATAGGGGTAGAAAAAAACCTAAAATTAGCAATTCATAGTGAAGAAATGTTGTGATATAAAGAAGTGAAGATTGAGAATTTATTTAGATAATTTCTTTTGAAATTAAAACTTGTACTAAAATTTGAATTGTAAACTAGATTTTGGTGTTAAGCTTATTAATATACATCAATAGTAAAAGTGTTTAACTAAATTTTGAATGTAACTGTAAAAGGAGTCCAGACATGTACACTTTCACCTATCCCAGAAACAAAACTGAAAGACATATCAAATCATGTTTAGAGAAATTTGAACCACTTTTTTGTTAACATTTTACACAGGTAAGTTGTTCCTTCAAGCTTTTTCTTTTTTTATATATATTCAGTTTCAAGAAAGTGTGTGATGAAAGCAAGCTCTACAATACTTCATTTGACCTCACTTCACATAGTTAGTAATTAGTCTTTCTTATTCCAGATTAATGCTTTATACAAAGATGATTTCCCAGTTGAGCCACACTACTAAATAGATTATGAATAGAATAACAGGAAATTTTCCTAAATTTTTAATTTAAAAATACAAAACTGCTATTCTAATACCTGTGTTATTGTAAAGCTAAATGTGAAGAAAAACACTAAATATAAATTAGGTTCCTTACAAGAGCCACCAGTGGTATGCTCTGTCATAGCTTATCCAATCTTGAAAGATATAATTTGTCAACATGGCTATCCTGACATTATTGAAGAAAGTTACATTTACAAAACACACTAATTGTAAATGAAAACTACTGATTTTCAATGAAAGGTATTCAGTACTTCAAATATGGCAGATTTTCTTTGTGTGTGTGAGAAATTACAAAAAATAACCAGATACATAGTAGTAGTTGTTTTATAATAAGAACAGTAAAGCAGATACCAACTTTTATATGTAAGTATTCTAAACTGAAAAACAAAAACTATTATCAGACTGTACTACAGTAGAAAATTGCTCATTTAATGTTTATGTTTAATGTATGTGATTCCTGTATTTGTTTTAACCATTTCATATGTACAGCAAATGAAATATTAAAAATTTTCTGTACCAAGTCTGCCCTGTAGTAGCATACCTGAAATAGTCCTGTTTATTAATTAGTAGTAATCATATGTTAGATAAAAAAAATTATATGTAGTAACTGTCTCATGGTCTTAAGCTTGTTTCTCTGTTAAGCATGCAGCAATTACTTAATATAAAAAAAACTGTTCATGAAATAAAAGCTATAGAATGATGCACAGTACTTAAAATTGTCATTAAGAGTTAATTGCCAGTTGAAGCACTGTATTTCATTCTGAATGTCATTTCAGAATTTAAGTCCACTGGGACCCAAAATATATATATTCATATTCCATTGAACAAAAGTTCCTTAAATTTTTTTAATTGTAGGCAAGGTTGAGAGAAGACTGAAGATAATAAGGAAAATTACCACAATCATTTTAGAAACAGATGTTTTGGAAGAAGGATAAAATTTATACATCCCAGGCACATGTTGTTGTCCAGTTTCATGAAACCCAAAACTTGTTTAAAATTTGGTCATTTTATCAAACAGTGTGTGTGATAGTTGGAAATTTTAACCAACAGTAAATTAATTTTATAGGTGCATGCTTTTCTTAAACTAAAATAGGTTTTTCTCTCTCTCTCTCTCTGTTTTTATCCGTCCGTGATTTTCAAAAATAAGATGTGACAACCAGTATAAAACATAAAAAACCTGGATTAAAAATGGGCAGATTTAATAAATGCTTCACTATTACAAGATGTTTTATATTCTCACTTACATAGGGACTAAATGTTTTTAGGCAAGCAAGTACTACACATGTTTTATTTAGTGACATAAAATTTCACAGTGTTCATCAGAAAATGTTTTCATATTTAATTGATTAAGTCATAAAAAGGTGACATTACAATGACTCCCTGAACCTTGTTTATTTGGGCTACCTAGTGGTCAGTTATTATCTAAACATTATTGAAATGGTTGGTCTCTAAAGGGCTGACCTCTCCTGAACATTCAGTTGAAGTGACATACTTAGTGTAATTACTGAGTAACTTGAAATATAATATTCATTCCAAGTGACTAAACTATAATATATAGAGATTGCTGCATACATTCACATTGTTTTATCATTTTGTACTTATAATAAATCAAATTTTTCAGAACTGACTTTATATAACTGTTTTTGGCTAGTTTTTATATTTAAAGAAATTATGATTATCTTATTTGTGTAGAAAGGAAAATAGTAGAGTTTTCAGTATTCACCTGTTTTATATTATTTAATAAGTATGTGTACTTGCTCAAAGTAATTGGTATATCTGTCATTCCTCAATAGATGCTAACCTCTAGCAAAAAAAAAAAGGTTGCAAATATACAAGGTCAAACTTAAGTAACATTTTGAACAATATGTTTTATCAACAGAAATTTAAGTGTTGTGTATTTCATTTTGATAATGTTATGTAACATCAACATGTCATATGGGTTTCAGTTTGTCAACAACTTTAGATATATATATATCTTTATTTATTATTCCACATAATAATATTACACAAAACACTTGACATTCCATATTTCTTTACATAAAAAGCATCTGGGGAATGGGGTTAACAAGTTGAAATAAATTTTATATTTTGACTCTTGAGCATGATTAGGAAGGGTTAAAGCAATATTATGAATGTCACATAATACATTATATACAAAAACCTTGGAACATGGGTTGCAGTTTCACCTGGCTACCAATCTCAGTTGGGTGTTACTCAAGTACAATTTTTTGTCTAGGATTTCAAATGTACTAATTTGTAGAGCATTTAACATTCCCGTTTATTTATCACATTTTGTTAGCTGCCCAGGGTACTTACTGTTGTACAAATGAAATAGTATTTCTACCCTGAATGGCACGTGCAGCAAAAAAGGAGATAAACTGCTTAGTTGGACCCCAAAGTTCAGGCATAGCTGTTCCCAGTTTAGAAGTGCCGATCAAAGTTTGGGTAAACAATCAACAGTACCTGCCACTAACAAATCTCTCTTAACTGTAGAGCAGGATTGAGTGTTATGTTTATAATGCAATGGCATGTCTAGATGAATATTACGCAGACTCAAACTGTAGACCTTTTGATCCACATCCTTAAATGTCATAGGCTACAACTAGCCCCAACCATAATGACAGAACTTTCACTGAGACATGGAAATAATTCCTAAATCTTTCTAATACAAATAACTTTTCATACACTTATTCTGTGGTTAACAAATAGAATTTTTAAGCAAAAAATCCAATATTTTTCATGCATGAAAACATAACTGAGTGTAATTTATAACATCATAGTTTTACTAGCAAACTGATTTACTAACCAATCTTTATTATACCTTACGATAATCTGACATATCCTACGTCTTAAAAAATCAAGTGCTATTCACAAAGGAAATCTGTTTCAACTATAGTCATGTATCATCTTTGGTATCAGTAAGGAAGAATGTTGAACAGTTCTGGTTTAAAAAAAAATGGTAAACTTAATACCTATTTGCATTTTTTTAATAGCACATTCTTTAAGTTTCCTCCTTTTTTTAACATTTACAGTTTGTGCATTAGATTTCTAAACTAGTTTAATTTTTTTTATGCCTTGTATAAAATTTTAATTTTTGGTGACATATTAATATGCACATTGTTCTTTCCCTGGCAATGTTGTTATTGGAGTTGCACTTGTGATTTGTAATGCACTTGTTAGACTGTCATGTTGATATACTTATTTTACACTATACTAAAATATTGAGTGAGCTATAAAAAAAATTATAATTTGAGACAGTATTTCAGAGCTGTAATATAAGACTGCAGGAATAGATGTGCAAATTGGATAACATAAAGTACGAGATGTCATCATGTTGTATCAGTACTGCTCGCAGAAAAATAGAAAACACACAGCAGTAACTTGTTACAGTAGTGTACGTTTTGCAGCCTCTTTACCAAGCCATGGTTAATTTGACTGATATCTACAATGACACATGCAAGATAACCTTAATCATATTGTTTTTGCTATTTACTCCACAATAGAACGCATTAACATATATTTAATAGTAATATATAAAAATTACATTTTCAAATAATTTTAAGAAGAAATAACTGACAGTGAATTGTTAAAATACCTATCTATACAGATATCTATATAACTTTTCATCTATTTCTGTAATATTTTATCATGGTGACATGTTGCTGTGAATTTTATTGAGATTCTTTAAACTTCATCTAGAGATTTTAGAGGAAACTGAAACTGTTAGTTCATTTAACAATACCAGTAACCATAAGGAGGTATTCAGTTTTTCAAACAATATGAAATGTGTATCTTCAGTTGGTGTATTTACATGTGCAATAGACTTAGTGCACATGATTAAATCACAGAGTTAAATCTATAGCACTTAATTATAATTATATATATAATTACACAGCCATTTTTTATGTCACAATACGTGTGGGTTATTCTGGAAGTTTAAAGTTTACAAAGAATGTGGTTGGATATGTTGGGTAAAGTTCAGGGATTCATAAAATGTTATAACACTTTCAAGTCTGTATTGGTATACATTATGGAAAAGAAATCACTCCTACAGGACTTAGAAGTATGAAGTACTTTGTACAGGAGATATACCTAAGAAGGTGAACATTCACACATTTTTTATGTTTTCTCACCCTTAAGAATGGGAATTATCATACAGTCACCAACTTGGGCTGTTTATGCTGAAATTAGCATCCCAGTCAAACCATATGTTTTCTGAGTATGCTGTTTACATATATATCAACATGGCCTTTAACACAAGCAATAAAGTTGATATAGTTTCAGTTTATGATAAAGTTGCTTGAATGATAGCAGTAGACTGTAGGAAAAGAACAGGGAGTTGGTTATATATGTAATTTGTCTTGCTGGTTGTGTCAAAAAAAAATTCTAGGACATTATTATAAATGTGCATTTAAACAGACTAAACAAAGAGAAAATAATTGTTTTATGTTGTTGAATACCACAAGCAAAGAAAACTTTTGAGATGTATGTGACAACACACTTTTAGAATCATTGGTTTGTTAATGATGTCTGTGTACATTTTATTAAAGTAAATTACATATCTGTATACATAAACACTTTGATGCATGAGTGCTGTATTTAAGGTTAATTTGCTTTTCATCTTGGTATTCTTCAGAGTTTACATTATATATAGCCCCCCAGTGATACAGTGGTATGTCTGTGAACTTACAACGCTAGAAACCCGGATTTTGATACCCATGGTGGGCAGAGCATAGATAGCCCATTGTGTAGCTTTGTGCTTAAGTTCAAAACAAACAACATTATATATATATATATAGAGAGAGAGAGAGAGATACGGACTATTAAATGATCAACAGTTAGCCAGTGCTAAGAATGATTGTGGAACACAATTTGTTTTGTACGATTATATCTTATACTTTCAGTAAATACCTTATAAAAAGTACTTCAGCAATCATCAAATGTTTGTTTGTTTTTTGTATTATTGAACAAACAACTGTGTATGAATGAAAGCTGCTCATTAATTCTCGCATACTTATGTTAATAAATTTATGAAATGGGTTACATGTTATGTGTTTTTATGTTGGCAATTTAAATTACACTTTTGTCGGCTAGATACGAGGGGCAATGTTTAGGTTGGTTTTCTTGTTTTATTTACTGGTGATTGGAACTTCTGGAAGAAGGATTTCAGTAAGATGGTTATCCTTCTGCGTCTCTCATATTCTGATGACTGTATTATAGGGTATCATTTCATACACAATCAAGGTTGAAATCCTGCCGGTACTCACCGGAACATATTTTAATGCCGGCATTCAGTACTTGGACTTATTTTAAACATATCTGCTTTCCATTGAACCAGCATGACTTCCGCCGTACTGTCAGAAAGTAGACGCGTCACGTCTCTCAGTCATAAATATTAATCAGATGAACCAGTAGATGATCTAACAACATATGATCTTATTACCAACAGGAACTAAACGAGAATTTATTTAGCAGTTTCGACGTTAATCATTATTAAATCAATCGGGTAGTCATCTGGTTGTGTGACTTGTATGGTTGATTATAAATATATCCAAATGATGCATTTTATTGGCCGATGTGCTGTGATCGTTACCAGCCCCTGATATTGAAGCGTATAATGTATTTTTGTCACTGAACGGAATTGGAAGCAAAAAATAAAGAGAACTAAGGTAGTTTTACAATTATTAAATTTTTAATGTAGTTGCCTGTTGAATATATGTTTCTTTAAAACCATCAAAACAGTGGTTTTTATGTATTTTCTTTTTGTATACAACGCATCTGGGCTGATAAGAGCTGATATAGATCAAACTACGGTTTTTACTTGGTTATGTTTTAGGCACAATAGTTAACTTAGAGTTGGTTTATAACTAGTGTGTGTGTGAAATGATAGAAGAAACATTATTCTATTATATCCAAAAGTATGTGGTGTCTATACACCTAATTTGGATTCTACATTTGTTAAAGAATATAATATGCAAAATTAGCCTGTATAGATCTGTAAGAACGTTTTTTATTAATATTCCAAAATTACTTTTATATATATATCAAGTATTATGAATGATTTGTGGCGATGGGAGAAAAACTGTTGTGTGCTACACTCATGTAGCCATTGTGTTAGGTTTATCCTGTGCTTGTGTGTACACGCATATGCCGATTGAGATTTCCAGACTGGGAAAACCTCAAAAGACACAATTTACATTCATATGGTTTTTCTCCACTATGAATTCGTAAGTGTTTTGTTAAAGTAGAACTGTCAGAAAATGTTTTTTTACATATATTACATAAGTACGGTCGTTCACCAGAATGTGTGCGCATGTGCGTGGTGACAGAGGAGCTCTGAGAGAAACGTCGTTCACAGAGAGGACATCCGAAAGGTTTTTCGCCACTATGAGTACGAATGTGTGCAGTTAGATTAGCCGCCTGGGAAAAAGACTTGTTACACATGTTGCACCAATAAGGTCGCTCCCCAGAATGTGTGCGCAAGTGTATTTTCAAAGTACTTGATCGTGCATAGGTTTTACCGCATACTCGACACAAGTTAGGCTTAGTGCAAGATGATAAAATATCTCCCATACCACCCATTTGAGAGAAAAAGTGTCCTGTGTAAGGAGCAACTGGTACAAACCGTGGCTGGGGTTTCCCTGTAGCTACCAAGTGATGATAGTTGTTATCTGGGTGTTTTGTTCCTGGAACACAAGTGTTCCAATATTTCAGAGGAGAAATGTTAGGGGGGAACTCTTTATCCAACGGCTGAAGAGTGACGGTCTCACCAGGCTGTAGTTCAGCAGTAAAAGAACATATCCCTGAAGTACTGGATGAGTGGTGTGGGGAGGGAAGAGAGCTGTGAGCCGCCTGTACTTGTCCGCAATCCGCTTGCATTTGGGTATATCTGCACTCTCCAGGAGCTCCTATAGAAGCACTCCACTGAACCTTTGGTTTAGCTTCTTCAAGACCAGTATAGAGCTTATGTTCTCCAAAACCTGAAACTGCCATGGTCATATTCATAGATAAATTAACACTCATTGATGTTGGGAATATCGTGCCCCCTTGTGGCTGTATAGGCTGAGAAGCTCCATTACAATCACCTATGTCTAGAGGTGTGGGAGGAGGAATATCTGTTTTATAGCGTAGTATCCTTTGAGAATCCAAGGAGCTATTGCTACTCATCTGTAATTGGGGATACAAAGAGTAAGAAACACAATTTCCTGGAGAGCTGACACTCTGTGAGGAGGGTCTTTCTCCAAAATTTATCCCTATGGGGTTGTAGCACGACTGTGACATTGGTGATAAAGATGGTAACTGGCTACTGTTAGGATGGAAGTAAGTTGAGGAAGACGATGCTCCAAGAGATGGTATAACAACTCCAACACCTGTACTTGGATGCACAACAGCACGTTTTAGGGATAATAATACGTCCGCCATGTCATGTCCGTAGGGTTCTCTTTCTTCAAATCTTACAGATTCTCTGAAAAAAAAAAGTGTAGCTACAAATTACTATAGTTAGATCTATGAGTGAGGTTAAAATCTATAAAATCAGCTTCAATTCTCTCTCATCTCATTTGTCGATCTTCCCAGATAAAATGAAATTAAAAGAAATGACGCTATTGAAAATATAAAGTTAAAAACATATTCAAGTTGAAAAGGTTTTTAAAACACTGGTTAAAAAAAAAGTTAAACTTAGTACGACATTTCAAGTAAACGTACTTTGTAGTAGTTGCACTGACATATTGATCTACTCAATTTGTTTAAATTCCACAAAACTTTAACGGTCAAATTACTTTCAGAAAAAATTGTATATAAATAATTAGAAGAAGAAACTCCATGTTTCTATTTAGCAGTCTTTGGCCAACTCTGATCAACAAAAAAACGTCCTATAGATCGCTTTGTTATAGGTAAGGGCTATCCTTCCAATCATATCAAACTTATTAAAATCGGTACTTTTCACCTTTATACTTGTTGTAAAGTCCATGAAATACCAGTTTGATGATAATAAAAATATCAAGTTGGAAACGTCGTATACAAGTTACGATATTTCTCGTCTACTGGAGTACACTGACAAACTAACGACTTGCAGATTGTTTAAAAAGAAACTGTACATTGACTACAACAATGAGAACGAGTTTTATATTACTGGTAATTATTATAAACAAAAAAGTGTTTGCACAGCAAGACATAGTAGAGTTTTAGGTCGTTCACCTTGAAGAATACTCCTACTTTTTGAATGTAAGAACAATTTTTGTATAAATTCGATGACGAGGAACCCACTTTGAGACTAATAATGGCTGGAGACGGCTTAAATGGGTAATGAAGAAAAACTTTAATATAAGTTTAACATGACAGCAAATGTACAACGTTTCGACAAGGTTTTGTCATCATCAACTACACTGTTGATGACGTAATTATATGTAGAGATA